AGTCCTGTATGCTGACAGAAAAGTTCTCCAAGGTGGCTGCAGCTTTAAACACACCTTCTGTCTCTGGGGTCCAGAGTTTAACTTGCTTGGTGACAGGGTTTGTTTGTTTCAGTCTTTGCCTGTAGGCTGGGGACATGAACAAAGAGATATGGTCTGAGTGTCCAAAGTGGGGGCAAGGTGTAGCCTTGTATGCATTCCGTATGTTGTTGTAAACATGGTCCAGTGTATTCTTATCATGGGTAGGAATGTTCACATGTTGGTAGTTTTTGGGGAGTACAGTCCATAAACTGCATTGATTAAAGTCCCTGGTGATGATAAAGACAGCGTCAGGGTGAGCTGTCTCTAGCATGTTTATGGTGTCCTGGACTTTGCTAAGAGCGGCTGTGGAATTAGCTCTCGGGCTAACATACACGCTAGCCAGAAACACGCTGCTATGCTCTCTTGGCAGACAATAAGGCTAGCATTTCAGAACTAAAAACTTCACGTCTGGTGAGCAGTGTTTATGAACAGTTCGCATATCTCCACACCACAAGTTGTTGATAAAGACACACACACACCTCCCCTTTGGTCTTAACAGAGTCTGGCATCCGGCCTGCTCGATGCACGGAGTGTGTCTGTAGCTGGATAGCGGAGTCTGGGACTTTGTCCGACAGCCAGGTCTTGGTGAAAATTAGAGCGCAGCATTGTCTTATTTCCCATTGTGCTGTAATCCTGGCTCTTAGCTCATCCAGCTTGTTTTCTAGTGATTGCACATTGGCTAGTAGGTTGGTTAGTGGTGGTAGGCTAGCACGTGCTTTTAGCCTATGATGGAGCCCTCCCCTTTTGCCTGTGCGCTTTCCTGATGTCAGCAAGCTCACTTGAACATGGTGTTCCAGGGCCTTCCTGAGGGTGGTGGTGATTGTGGCTATGGCACACAATGAACTGTAGCTTCGGTGGTATGAAATCAGCAAATTCCAAATGGCTGTTTGAGTTGGCGATATCCAGCAGTGCCTTCTGTTGTACGTTAGTAGTGCATGACATTTGTGCACTGCAGAAAGAGTGAAGAACACACACACACACAAAAAGGAAAAAGCCAGCATTCGGAAGCGGAACAATCAAACATGTTTGCCGAGAATGGTGCCATGATGTAATACTCCTTGAGCTTTCTTCTTGTATCGGTGCAGTGAAAATATCAAGATTCACATGAAATTTACGAAGTGACAACTTACAGGTCAAACCCAACATGTTTAACCAGCATGTTTAGCCTCACTCCTGAGAAAGCTCTAAGAACAAAAAGATGGTCAATATGTTGTCTGCACCCTCCAAAACCTACAGCCTGGACCATGAACATTGCTTATTTTGGGGGATTAGATATTTTTGTTTTAAAGCTATCGTCTTTCAATGCTTGTACTTAAAAATAGATTTCATAAATAATGAAAAAACGTGTTGGCTTCTTGTCTAACCTGCATTATCATTTTATTTCCAAAAGGTGATTAGCTACACTGTCTGAACTCCTTAATACTGGGTACTTAAAAAACATCTAGATAGCCACTACACTTACTAACCTTTATGCTTTTTTTGGCTTAGAAACCCTAAATGTAATGTAAATATCGTTAAATTCAGTGTCCTGTTTTAGAAAGTAGGAGTCTGTATGCTTGATTAATCATGGCTGGTTTCCTCAGTCCGTGACATCTGTCTTCCTGTATCCTGTCACGCAGGCACAGCCTATTCACATTTGGTCAACCCTCTAAATGTCTTGGATCCTGTGCACTTACTGCGCATTTATCTTTTTTTGTCAAACACTAAATCCATCTTCCCTCTACACCATGTCCTCTTGGCTTCCCACTTTTTTTTCATAGAAAGTTGTAATGTTGAGCTGTTGCCCACCTGTAAGGAATAATACCTCAAGACCTTATTCCTCCACGGAAAGGTTTCAGGAGCATATGAGAGGAAATGATAGAATCTAAATACTCTCTCTCTGTCTCTTTCTCTCTTGTCCTGTTCAGTGTCAGTTCACTGTACTGGTATTAAATGTGTCTGCAGAGGTGGCAAAAAAAAAAAAAAAAAAAACAGTAACTAACACAATCAAAAGAGAATATTCAGTTCCTTGCTGTGATTAACGAGATTATTTATGCCACTCTAACATCTGCATGTTAAATATGGAAGCAGAGTCAGCAAGTGTTACCAGTTTACTAGCATAAACAATTGTAGCAGAGTGAAAGTTTACAGATTTGCTTATTGGCCCCTGTAAATGCTATAGAACAGACATATAAACTAGGTTGAATTACACAGAACTACTTCTTCACAGGCAAAGCCAGGCTAGTTGTTTACTCTGCTTTGAGTTTGCTAAGCTATACCACTAGCATACTGGTATCAGATTTCTTATCTAACTCTCATCAGGAAACTGAATAAGATTATTACTGGTAGCGTAATGCCGGTTGGGTTAGAAGAAGAGTCAGGAGACCAGAACTTGTCTTTTTCTCTTATTGTCTTTTGGAGCTGTGAAGAGAGCCAATCCCAGCAGACACTGGGCAAGAGGCATATTATACAATGTTAAAGTGATTTAAATGTAAACTACTTTATCTTTATAATATATATATTCTATTTCATGCCAGTAGAGTTAATGTAACACTTTTAGACAGTACTGATCACTAGGCCCAAAGGCATATTAGTGCATCTTTTCAGCTGTTAAATGAAAGAATCAATGTTCATTAACAGTGGAACATTTGTTTTATTGCAGATGTCAAGCCACAAACCTGCAGAGCTGAAAATATCACCTAATAAAGTTATAAAGTAGATATTTGTTTAAAAAAAATGTACATGAGTGCACATTGGAAAAAAGTAAAAACACAAATGTAAATGATGCATATAATTCTCCTTGTTACACCCACCTGGAACAGCAAGCACAGACTTTATGACTGTTACAACAGCATCACTGGTGTAAAGTGCATGAACTAGCCACAGTTGTCTCTCTACCGATAATTTTTTTACAGGAAACAAATAGGCGCAAATTTGTGATGTGAAAAACAAAAATTCCTCTGCAGCTGACTTTCAGTTTCTCTGTCTAATTTAAGGAATTAGTGTTCAGGCAAATTATGCTGCTTTTAAATTCAGTGGAACAAAGACAT